TTTTTTTTAATCTGCTTTGTAATTTATTTGCACAGTAGGATTCAGTTCCCAAAAACCTTCCATTTTTATTAAGTTTATCTGGCACTTGCAGGTAAGAAAGGACCCATTAGCACTACAGTGCTTAAATAGCTACAATCAATTAATATTGGAAAGTGGTAGCTAATTAATTTAAAAGTGTGGGAACAGCTGCATACACTTGCCAATTCCCATTTATCTTTGTAATGAAGAGAAAAGTAAGTGAATAATAATATAATACTGGCTGTTGCAATATTCAGGAGATAATGCAATTCAATTTTACCTCTTTCAAATAAATAAAATGCCTCTTGTATTCTGAGAAATTTTAGTCTGAACAGTGGAAAGAGGGTTCTCTGCCAAAAGACCTCTCAGAGGACTGGAAATTATTTACTGCCTTTTAAGTGTGAGGAAATCCCCTCTTATAGCAGATAAGGCCTGATCCAAAGTCTATGGGAAGACTCCCTTTGATTTCAATGGGCTTAGGATCAGGTCCACAATGCCCAAAGGCAAGTTGTGCTTCCAGAAATCTCCTTTGGCAGCAGTTGGAGGAATTTTGAAGTTGTTTCTTTCCTGCTTGTATTTTTTTTTTTCAGTTTAATCGCCCAAACAAGTTGTAAGTGGCTCCAGTCCCTCTCTTTGTAGTCACAGCTGAGGGAGTTTAGAGGCCTGGGAGTGATCTGAAAGTATGTGGGGTATTCCCAGAGCTGGCAGTAATAGGTAACCCATGGAATGATGACTAGCTCTGTTAGCTGCAGGCTGAGGTATCTGCCTGGACCATGGGAGGGGGGATATTTTATTTTAGGATCAGAATAGGGCCCCTGATCAGACTGCCACCCCTCCCATTTAATCATTTGAGAGATGTCATATTGAATGTTTGTGATGATTGCCCATTAGCCAGTTTCAGGAAGAAGATAAGATTTATCTCCTTATCTAAGTCATTGTTTTTGGACTACGTGCAAAAGGTCCTGACTTTGTTTAAAGTCTTAACTTCTGAATTTTATCTTTAGAAGTCTTTTACAAGAAAGCAAATATCCTGAGTTCCGAGAGATCAAACTGTAGAGCCTTTTGGAAAGACTGGTAAAAAAAGGTCACTTGTAGTGGTATGGAAGTTCCCCAAAGTAAAATGATTAACAAAAGAAACTAATTACTAAGCAAAAGAATCTGTTGAGTAAGATCCGAGCCCAAATTTGGGAGTAATGACAGGCTTGAGTAGGAGTGGCCCAAGATGGCAGCTCACTCAATAAAAACTGTAACTTAAGTCGCCTCCAAATTGGGACAGTCACTTGCAGAACAACGAAGGAAGAATCGCAAGTGTAGGCCGGATCAGATTGATCACCTGAACCAACCTCTCCGTGAACACGAATCTCTTAGTTCACGCTGAAGCTGCAGAGTGCCCAAAAGGGACTGAAGGAAGGGGACTTAGTCCTATCAGTATTGAGGCCATCCTATTGAATTGTATTGCTGAGGCGAGCCCATTGAACCGTACTACCGAGGCCAACCCATTAAATTGTACTACTGAGGAATGAAACCATATTTTGGTATTTGGCTTCTCGGTATTCTAGGATTGTAAGTATATTATGAAAATAACAGTATTGATTCAAATTTAACTTTTAGTTGTAATTGTAGTTGTTTTTGTAATACTAATTCTTATAGCATTGTTTGGGAAGGAAGTGCATTTGGAGCATTGTTTCTGATATATGTAGTTATTGTGTTCTTAATGTTTGTGGTGTTTCTTAAAGCTAAGCAGTGTTATATGCGTAGCAAAGAGTTTTAAAATAAAATTGTATTGTATAAATTAAGTGTGTAGTCATTGTGAAATCGTGCAATCAGCTAACTACTCCCCCAGCCAGTGCATCAAAACGAATCCGTAAATTGTGTGGGATTTTCTCTATTCCATAACCCACTAGAGACAAGAGGCTCAGTTCAGCACCGCCCTGCAGCTTTGCATAGTCACATGGGTCAGTGTCAAAAACTGTTTTATACCTTTTTTCTAAATGACCGCATAAAGCAAAGGGGCAGGCCCAAGGGCTTATCTTGCCCCAGACCAGTACATTCAAACACTAGCTCCTTCCTTATGTTCCTTTCTGCTCTGTGATCCTCATCCAGTTCCACTGAGCTCACTGAGAATGTTTCCGCTTTCCAGTTTATTACTGAACCTTTTTGAATCCTTAGGGCCCGAGGTTTTGGAGAAAACAGGAACTTTGCTGTCAGCTTGCTTCCCCCTTTTGAAGAAGCTAGCTGAAAAGCCACGCTTTTTTTAATTATTATTTTGGTTTAAGGCCAAATTACTTCCAAATTGTAAATCAACTGACCTGAGCTCAATTGTTCAAGCCCATGTGGCTCTACCACTGGGCATGTCTCCTCCCTCCCAGACCCATCAGTCTGGGGCTTCAGACACCCCCCCCCCCCCCCCAAATCCATGGAGGGCATCCTACATGCAGGCCCCAAGCCCAAAAGCATTAGATTCAGATGCCCCCTGCTCAAGCTTGCTGTTAGCCAAAAGGCTGAAGGAGCAAGCCAAGGGGAAAGCACAAATATGGTCCCCCGTTACCACAAAATTGTGCGGTCAAGTTTCCCGCATTTGGGAAACTCAAAGGGGTCAAAGTGCCAATAGGCAGGCCTCGCCCTAGGAAGACCTGCTGATCACGGTATCTCCCCTGACAGGGACAGTGTGTCCTGGCTGATTCCAGTCTCTCCCTAGGGTTGCCAACTCTGTTAGAACCTATTCTGGGAGGTTTCAGAAATGCCAATGCACCCATGGCACAATGCCAATGTGCCCACATGCTGGCGTATATTAGTTATGGATTACGGTGCATGGACTTTACATCAAGAAGGCACATTACTATGACATTTTAAGAACACATTGGACTCTACTCTTTAAAGTGGGTTCAGGTATCCAGGTTGTAAAATAATTTGTTTGCAAATATCTTTTATTAGACCAAATAAGATATTACTTCTTCCACGAGCTTTGGTTCCTAAATTGGATACAACATTTAATATTTATTTCAGTGAGTGTCCTTTCATTTATCTCCTGAGTAACTCTCAGCACCTGGAATTTCTTTCCGTCTAATTCCTGGAGATTCCAGGGCAACCTGTATCTCTTCCCTCATGTTCCCTATGTTAAGGGGCTATTTTCAGAGCCTGCTTCTCCGCAGACTCCATCTCCAGCCATATCCAGCCTCCAAGGGTGCTTAGCACGTTGAAATGGAGGCCTTTAAAGAGCGAGTGTCACACTGGGTCACAGATAGGGAAACAGAGAACTAGCTACTAAGTTGGATATTAGGAAAAACTTTCTTGCTAGGAGGGCAGTGAAACACTGGTTACCTAGCAAGGAGGTGGGATCTCCATCCTTGGAGGCTTTTAAGGTCTGCCTTGACAAAGCTCTGGCTGGAATGATATAGATGGGGATGGTCCTACTTTGAGCAGGGGGTTCTCACCCTTTTTTTTTGTACCAAGCAGCCCCTTGCAGGCTGGAACTGTGCCAGCCTGTGAAAAGAAACCCACATTTTTCTCCTTTAAAGGAGAATTCATTTTTCAAGTTTGTTGTTCCATTTTTACACAGGTATGGCGGTGTGGGGCTGTGGGGTGGCTGCCCCAGGCCCTGTGCTTTGAGGCGCCCCATGGGCAGTGCCATTCAGGCTTCACTACAGCCATTGGCTCTGCTGTCCATCTGCTTGCCCCCCTCTCTGCCCCACACTCTGCAGTCTGGCTACTTTCCACCTGCCCCCTGGCCCTGTACCTGATATGTACAAGTAGGCTGATATGTCCGGGGCCCCACACGCCCCTAGGGATGGCTCTGCGTGGCCATATTGGTCTAAGGACATAGGTTGACAAGGTTCTTTGGGTAAACTAAAACCCAAACCTGGATTTCTTTCAGGCACCCTATCCTAGCTTATTATGACTCAAATAGTCTGCCCTGTTCCACCGAGTTGTTTGTGCTTAGACCAGGAAAGGGAAAAGTTAAGAGGTGCAGGTGTCAGCAGTTCCTCACCCTTGCATTTTTTTTGGATCCGTTTTTAACACTTGCTCATGACCCTTTCAAATATTCTTGCCACCCACTTTTGGGTTGAGCAACACTGTCCTAGATGACCCCCCGAGGTCCCTCCCAACCCTCATTTCCTATGATCCGATGGTACTTCCAAGTCCAGGCAGGGCAGAGGACTGTGTGCTCCTCTGCCTCTACAAAGGCAGGTCCTTGGGCGTCTGCCCTTCAGCAATTTGCATCATCACAGCCTCACAGAAGAGGTGGGATTACTACCTAAGAACTGCTGTCCAGAGGGTTTTTCCATCTATTGACCCTTCTGTGCATTAGCGATGTGTAGGGCGTGCACACGGGTGCACATGCACCCCCTGAGCATGGGGGTGCACCCCCTGCGAAAATGCGCAAACAACACTAGCAGCACCACCTGTGATCGCCGCGGGTCTGCTGGTAGTTACTGACCACTGGTGGGTGCTTGCCACCCCCCCACCACCCACAGCGCCGCGGCCACCTGTGGGAGCGCTACACGCTTGCCGCCACCACACCGTGCCCGCCCCAGCCTCTGGGGGCACATGGCATTCGTGCCTCTGTGAAATCCTCTGAAATATGAACTTTCATTTCTACCCTGAACTTTTACAGTCTTTCCTCCCGTGCCTGATGAAGGGTGTAAGCTTACAATTAAAGGGGTTTTTTTGTTGGGTTTTTCTTGCAAAAATCTTGTTGGTCTAAGAAAAGATCCCACCACCGTCCATGAGCCCCGATTGCTTTTGCCCTTCAGCAAGGCTGGTGTCTGAGCTGAGCCACTTGACCCGAGGTGGCTCCCGGTGAAAGCCTTAATCCTTCTGGCTGCGCTGCGGGAGGGAGCTACTGCCTTGCGAGGCGAGGGGAGGGTGGCAGGGCTGAAAGTTTAGCGAGTTTTGCAAATAACTTCACATCACAATAGCCCAGCGAGCCCCCACCCCCCGCGCTTTTCCTGCTCATAAACGCCTCCTTTCAAGCCTGCAGCTGGGCAGGGCTCCAAAGGTGCAGCCGCCGCTTCAAGTTAGCTGTAAATTGCACAACTTCCAGCGCCTCGTTACGCTCCGGGACTAGCAAGGAGCTGGCAGGAGCCGGGGCCCCTGCATGGTGCGGCTCCGGCCCGGGGGCGACCATGGCTCCCTTTGGCAGGAGCGTGCTCAAAGCCCGGCACACGGCCAGGTACAGTACAGGAGGGGCCGGCGGGTGCTCATGCCCCCTTTTCTCGGAGCCCTGTTTGCTGGGGAACAATGCCCCCCCCCCTTTGAAACTTCCCAAATTGGATGAGCTGGAGGGAGGGTTTGCACCAGAACCTCCGCTGCTCTCTGCAACTGCCAGAGGCACGCTTCGCACTTGAAGGGTGCCCCCCGGATAGACCCCCCCCCGAGCTGGTGCCAGGCGAGCGCGGGGGGAGAGCCCGGACTTTCTCCCGCTCCACTTCTTCGGCCGATGCAGCGGTGGGTCTCTGGGCTCGATCCCCCCCCGGCAGCAGGTCCCTGCGGCATATTTTTGGCTGAAGCTGTACCCGGCTGCCCGAAGTTTTGGAGCCTGCCGGCGTGGCTAGCCCCCTCGCTCCTCGGCGTGTAAATTTGAGGGGGCGCTGCGCCCTGGGCGGGGTGCGAGCCCGCGGGGGAGGCGGCGCGCGGCAGTCGTGGCGGCGCAAAGTTTGGGTGGAGAAGCAGAGTCGCCTTTCGGGGGATTCATCCGCTCCCTTCCCATCCTCATACTTGCTTCTACATGCCAGCTGCATCTACTGTGAAGGGAGCGAAAACGGCCTAGTATGAAATTATGCGATTATTTTTAAGTGCTGGTATGCTACCATAGTGTTACGGGGAAGTTTCCTTGGAGTTGAACTGGTGTTTTAGCCCCTCTGGGACTTTGCGGTGGCTCAAGAAGTCTAATGCTGCTTTAAAGCTCCTGATTATAGAAGGCACAAAGATCTGTTTGTGTTTGGCTTTCCTTTCCCCCTCACCCTCCCCCCTTATTATATATGATCCTGCAATTGCCCTTTCCTTCTTATTTGGGATGACTTGTTTTTATAGAGTACAGGATTGGGCCCCCACTTGTTGTGTTTGTAGCTCCTTCCCTCCCACAAAGTGTAGCTTATGGATGATTTTTTCCCCCCTCATTTGTTCTGTAAGATGGGGATTGTTTGGGAACATGATGTAACCCACCCCAGTATTTGCAAGTGCACTTTTATAATGCTTAAGCAAGTCTATATTTAGGACTTCCAGCAATGCTGATGCACTATTTTTAGATCGGATTAAAGTGACCTGAAACAAGCTTTTCCTACTATTTAAACAATTAAGTTGCATTGCCATCAAGCTGTTTTAAAACTAATGCCAGAAATATGCTTCCTTTCCATTCAACCATAAGTTTTGTTTCCCTCTTGGAGACTTGAAATGTACCCTTTGCATTAATTGCATCAGTCTAACCAAGTCTGTTGATGGGAAGGTCTAGGTAGAAGGAAGGTCAGTACAGAACGCTTTTTAAAGCAAATCAAAATTTGCAAGGGACTTGACAGTGAGGAAGTCTTTCTGTTTTCTCTCTGTAGTTGGACCATTAATTCCAAAATATGTTGTGGGCAGCAAAGAGCAGCAGCATTTTATGGTGGTGAGAATGAAGGGATGTCAAAGTCCTGTAAATTAAGCAAAAGGACAAACAACTAAATATGTGGGGGGGTTCTTCTTCTTGAGTCTACTTTCATTCCATTTCCAGATCCCAGAAGTTAAGTGAATGTGCTTAACCTTTTTTTGCTTTTGGTATAAAATTTGTGATTGAGATTTCAAGGTCTATTTCCAGAGGTGATAAATGGATCTTGTAACTCTAGTATAATGTCATGGCCTCCAGATATTTACTTTCTTACTGCAGTTACCATTTTTGCAAGCTTATTTCAAAATTTGTCCCAAATAAAGCTTACTTAACTTTCTAAGTGAAGGCTGTCTGGGGGTAGTAGCAGCAGATTGGGATTTCTAGCACGTTATTGGCTGGCTGTGCGTTAGTTTGCCTATCTTTAAAAAGGGTATTTGTTCTACTTCACTGCATTGTCGTATGACTTATTCTCCATACGGTTCTTGTTTTTTTTTGCAAACCAAAATTGTTTTGTAAGTGCAAATAATTGTTGATTGAGAACTTTTTTTTTTTTTTTCTATCTAGCATTTCACCTTTTAACTCTGCTGAGTTAGGCAAGTGAAGAGGAGAATTTGTATTTCATAGATAAAGGAAAGGTGAAGCTAAGCAGTCAGGTGACGAGACAAAGGCAATCAATACAAGAACCAGAATTCAAATGAAGAAGTAGGACTTTTGTGCTTGGAGTACAGGGCTTCTCATTTTAGTGGTGGTTTGGTGTACGTGGTTCCCTTCCTGTTTTGGTGGTGATTGGGAGTAAGTACTGGAGCATTACCTAGAGGCATCAGTCAAGAATTATAGTCTTGTTTTGTGCTGGATACATGCATCCATGTAATAAAAAGACGATTTACAGTGCCATAGCAAGGAAGTTTGGCGCCTGGGGCAAGCCCGCAGTGGCAGTCCACCCTTGCACTGTGCATAGATCCGGAGGGCACATGCGCCCCCCCCGCCCTCCAATGCTTACCCGAGGGTGCATGCAATGGTGGGACACCCCCGTGGCCCCTAGACAAGCTGCTTGTGGCTCCATCCTGTGCCCCACCCCAGCTGGGCAGAGCCTGCCCCAGTCTCGGTCCCACTCCTCCCTCACTGGGGGGGCCTTGATCTGCCCCCCTACATGCCCCTTCCCTCCCTCCACCCCTACACGCCCCTCCCCTCCCCCCCCCCCTCCCCCCCCCAACAGACTCACCAGCTGGACACTGCTCTCCAAGCTGCCGGGCTGGCCACGTGCATGCTGCAGTTGCACACATGCACGCGGCATTTGTTGGTGGCATTATCAGCCACTTCAGCCACATTTTTTGGAAATATTTATAACAAAATATTGACTTGCGACTCGCCTTTTGGCTCCCCTTTGCTTAAACACCTGGGGCAGTTGCCCTGCTCGCCCTCCCCTTGCTATGGTATTGACCTTTTTATATTCCAGAGATTAAATTTACAGTTAAAAAAAGAATTTGTAGTCTAAAGACATCTCTGGATAAGTGTTTAAACTGAGAAGGAACCTGCGTCCTGTGCCACTGAGGTGTGTATGGGGCATAAGATTACTTCAGGACCAAAGCCTCTCCTGAAGCAGCTGCCTTGGATAAAGAGAGGTACAGTCTGTTCCCTTCTCTTGGGCTGCTGAAATGAATCCTGTTCAGAGCTTCTGGTTTAGCTGTCTCATAAATCCCCTTTCAGCATTATTCTGGCTTCAGAGAAACTACGGTAATTGTCACCAAAATCTGTCCCTATTATACTTTCTTGGGAAATCCCTGGGCTCAAATGTGCCTGCATGCTCTTTGCTCTGTTTGTGGGGAGGTTAAAAGGAGCCATCTACTCGGGTTTCCTGTGTAGCAGTCGGGAGTAATTATTGTTCTTGGAACACATGAGCACTTGTTCCATTTGCCCCCTCTGGCACAAGACACCTCAAAGATGGCAGAGCTGTGCCTTGCACATGTCCTGGCTGGAACCGCGCAAAGAAAGCCTGATGCACTTTGTAAAGAAGTAAAGCAGCAGATGCTTTTTCTCCCCTCATTGCAGGAGCAAAACTGCAGTGTCAAGCCTAAATGGCATGGTTGAACCTAAAAGATTTATTTTTAGGCAACTCTTTTAAAGATGCTGACTTTGTGGTTACTGAAATGCAATGCTGTGAAGAAATAGAGTATATGCGTCTGGCACGGAATATTCTAACTCTTTACGGATAATGTATAGCATTGACCTAACAAAGTAAGGTTCGCAAGCTTGCAGAAACAAAACATCACCCTGTTTAGAAATTACCAGCATTTACCAAAACCAAGTGATGCAGGGAACCTAAGCCTCATTTATTTAATTCATTATTTTTTTTGAGTAGGACTAAGGCTCCATGTTGCCTAGGGGCCAGATTTTTAAAGATATTTAGGTGCCTAAAGATGATCGGTAGACAAGGTTCTTCGGGTAAATCCAATATTTACCTAAAGAACCTTGTCTGCCTATGTCCTTAGACCAACACGGCTACAACCTACACCCCTGAAATAAAGATGATGGGCAACTCCTGGGGTCTTTCAAAACAACTCCTATTGAAATGCTTTTTAATCTGGCCCTGCGTTTTAAAAATGGATCTTAAGCTCATGAATCACTTAAGGTCTGGCTCTACCTGTCCAGGGTGCCCTGGAGCATGCTCCACTTTGCCCGTTCCTGTTCATATGTTTAAACCTGAGAATGGGTCAGTGAGGCCACGGTTTTTCTTAAGATCTCTTGGGACCACTCCCACTCAACTGTGAGAGGAGGCCCTTACATTAACCTCGTTGGGACATTTCTGTGTTTGAAACCTATGGGAATGGATGGGCAGGGCATGCTCAAGGACATTCCTACTGGCACACGCCACCACTAATGGCATAGACATAGCCTTAGGTGCTTTTGAAATTTGTATTCATTGGTGTCAGTAGTCCCTTGCTCCTGTAACTCTCCCTGCAATGCTGGGCCTATCCTGCTAGGCTCAAAGGGCATTTATACACATACATTTTTGTCCCACAATGTGTACAAATGCTCACCTTGTACTAAAATGCTAAACCACTTGCTGTTCACTATCCTGGCATTCCATGATTATCATCTCAATCATAGAACAAAGATTCTCTCCATTTAAATCGAATTATCTTCTTTGGTGAAACCAGAACCTGGATTGTCATGCACCCTACCTTACTTTAGTATGACTCTAGTAGTTTGCCCAGTTCCACCGAGTTGTTTGTGCTTAGGCCAGGAAAGGGAAAGTTAAGAGGTGCAGGTGTCAGCAGTTCCTCACCCTCACCTTTGCAGTTTTAGGCCTGCTAAGCTCAAGTAGCAGAATCAAAACAATTTGGAAACAGCCAGAACAACTCCTATCATTGCAGTGCTAGGTTTACCACAGTTATTTGCATGCTTTATTTATGTACAGCACACAAGCGGGCATGATATGTAATGATCAAGTGTTATTATTGCAAATCTGGTTTTAGTTATGTGTATTAATATTTATTACTGTTGTTCTCCTCTTATGATCTCTTCCACTTCCATGACTCATTCTAAGCCCTGCACCCATATGATTGATTATGCAGGCAAAGCTAACTTCT